TTTAAAAATTTTCCGGAGAAATTTCGGACTGTAAAATCCCCACCTCTGCTGGGCCCCCTGCTGCTCACCTTGCACCTCGTCATGTAGTACCCTTTACCCCGCAGGCCTGGCGCTCACGCACCTGCTGCTCGCGCCGCCGTCGCCCCGCCTGCCCGCCCACACCGCGCTGCGCCGGGCCGCCGTGGACCTGATCGGTCGCGGCTTCACCGTCTGGGAGCCCTACCTGGACGTGAGCAAGGTCCTCATCGGACTGCTCGAGCTCTGCTGCGATTCGGACCGCCTGGTGCCCAGGTACGCCATCTCCTCTCTCGCCCCGTCTGTCCTCCCCCTCGCCCTCGTCCTGCCCTCCCCATGCCTACAAACAGTTCCGTTTCCTCGCAGCATGACCTACGGTCTACCGCTGACGCCCGCCGCCGACTCGAGCCGCACAGCGAGACACGCCCTGACGTTGATTGCAACCGCACGGCCGGCTGCGTTCATCACAACCATGGCGAAAGAGGTGACAATTAGTCTTGTGTTCCCGCGTTAAAATGATTTTTATTATTTTTTAAATTGAAGTTAAAAAAACTTGTCACGTTTTGTTTGTTTTTAGGTTGCTCGCTATAATACGTTGCAGCAGAATGCACAGACTCTAAATGTGAACCTCAGTAATTCTGTTCTGCATAGAGCCAAGCCAGAAATATTACATGCAGTTGAACACCTGATTGATAAAATGCCATATGAAATGTCTGATTTCCTGGTTGAGGTTGGATTTTTAATTCCACTTCATTTTCCAATTCTCTCATAGTGACCATTTTTTGTTCAAAAATATGTATATATATGTATTATGTCTTAGGTCATGGATATTGTCCTCCATTGCTTGGACCCTGGCCACCTGAAAACTCGCAGTTTGCAGGATGTTTTCCCTGCTATTCGCCGCTTCAACCAGGTTTCTCACTGTTCACACACAAGGAGAATAGCTGTAGGAGCTAAGAGCGGTCAAATAGCTCTTTATGAGCTTCGATCATCCAAGTGCCCCGTAAGCTGTAACTTACATATCTGTATTTGTTCTTACACGCATTGTCTTGTTTCTTCATGCAATCCCTTTTTTCAGATGATTTCTGGTCACAGTGCTCCAATAACTGCATGTGCTTTTTCACCTGATGGGAAGTACTTGGCGTCTTATAGTTGTGGAGAAAATAGGCTTTGCTTCTGGCAGGTTAGTATGTGTGCTTGTTTTTTGTTAGTTTTTTGGGGGCCTTTGTTTTTAAACTACATTTAATGTTGACCAAAAACTCTTTTGAAAATTTTACAGCAAACTTCTACAGGCATGTTTGGTCTCGGAAACTCACAAACCAGGTGCATCAAGTCATACAGTACTTCTCCATTGGCTGATATTACTCGTCTCAACCCAATGCGTCTTGCCAAACTGTCATGGACAAATAATCGCACAGTTTCACTTAAATTAGCTGATAATTCTGAGACTCCTTTCAATGTCTAGTCATTTTTAGTCACCAAGCAAGACTTAATGAACAGGAATTGAAAGTATTGCTTTCTGTATATCTAAATGCTACTTTATAGCTATACTTTGTAGACAAATTGTATTGAATTCCCCTTGAGCTTTTTCAGTATTTGTTGGGTTAATTTCCTCAGGAGTATTTAAAAGAAAGCTAATCTCAACACATGAGATTATTAAGGGGTATATAATCACTGTATAATTATGTATCTAATTTATTGTTATTCATTCCCAGCTTTTCTGTCACATTGTAAATATAAATTTGTCTAGTATTCATTTTTCATAGCTATTTCATTTACCAGCAAACTGTTTTGCTGCTGTGGTAATTCCACTATACCCATTCCATTAATCAATGTGAGGGAAATAATTTTGGGCCAGTTGCTTTAACTTTTAATGAGCTGCATCCATTTGTTAAATGCTTTTATCCTTATTGAATATACTATGTTTATTTTGTTGACTTTAGAAAAATGTTGTGTAGTTTTATGGTGTACATTATATAATGGATTACTTTTTACGTCCTACGTTGAAGATGGAATGGAACAGATTTTCTGTATCCTTTCCTTATTTTTTGTGATAAATAATATTAATATTGTTTGATGTGAAGGTTTATTTTTAATTGACGAAAATGTCCTATCAACTAATTATTATTACATTCCCCTGCTTTGGAAACAAAATCACTCATGTGTCATATAGTCTCTAAAGAATCTATCTATCTATCTTAACAGAAAATTCAAAGAATGTATTATGGAGGGAGGGAATGATTGACAAAAAAAGACATTTTAATAGTGTGTAATACAAAACTTTTATTCCAATCACTTTCTTTAAGATCTTTATTTGAAAAAGTTCTATCAAGCTTTACTCACATCAAGCACAAAAAGTCATGCTTAGCCACCTATTTCTGTACATTGTGACTAGTTGTTCTGAGACAATAAGTTATGGTTCTTTTGAATGTTTGTTATATTTATTGTTGTTGCATTAATATTATTTTGGGATGTATTACTTAACTAACAGTTGCTTCAGACTGTGGATGTGATTAGTTAGTTTTACTAATAATACCACAAGTTTCACATAAAGCTAGAAATGCATAGGAGAGATAATTCACACACATGGCTATGTGAGCTATGAATGTCACCTGGTTGGTCCAGGACTATTGGAAACCTGTTGTAATTTATCCAAGAGCTTTTCTTTCCACAACTCTTCTGGAATACTTGAAGCCCATGCTGGCACTGCAGATGGGGGTAATGAAAACCCAGCCATTGCTGCTCTTATCTGAGCTGACCTTTCATCATCCATGGCAATACTATTTGATGTCATGTCAACTGGAGTGCTGTTCCAGAGAGCTACAAGCTCTGCCCTACCAGCTTCAGGCAATTCAACAGATTCGTCCTATCAAAGTAAAACATGTGTCAGTATTAAATTGCTGAGCCAACAGTCATAAAATACATGTGGAAGATAGTGACTTACGTCAGCTGAGCGAATGTCATTCTGGTTTATTACTTCACCCTCCCCATCCTAGGAAAGTGAAGAAAATGATTATGCAAGATCTATAAATATTTGTGAATCCGAATAGTATTTTGTCTCCTTTGTCTCTGAACGGGCACGAAATAAAAATAAAAATCTTACCGAGTCTCCATCATTGACATGAGTCCCGCCCACAAATTCATGCTGACCGAGAAGGGTGTAACCATCATAGGCCTGATTCGAATGCCCCTCAACCTCATTATCACTGTCATCACTGTTATGAGCAGCCAAAGCTACATCTAATCAAACAAACAAGAGAAAAAATGCTTTACGGTCAAATTAAGCACAATAATCAATAAAATATCTCAAAGAATTAATGTCAAAAGTTGTGTACCATAGGTATGCGGTAAATTCTCATCATCAACTGGATAGACAGGAGGGTCTGGTGCCATCTGGGAAAAAATCAAACAGGTTTTCAATAATAAAAATAGATTGGTTCCCGGTAGAAAATGGGATTTAGGCAGGCATATTCCAATATTCTGACATTATGATGACACTATAACCTCGATAGGAAATACATCTATTCTATCCTACGTATTTTCAAAAAACAATAAATCCACCATGAATCTCTCTAGACGACTCGAGTATATTCGTTACCTTTCAGTTATATGGTGATACTTAAAGTAGTTATCAAATTATTTTGCGTTTCAAATACTTTCCACGCATTGCAAAATAACAACAATAGCAGAAGCAAAAGACAACTAGTATGACAAATTTCGAGTGATGAAAATAAAACACAATTGCGTGAAAATTGGCTAAAAGAAGCAAAAATCCAACTCCTCAAATAACGGGGCAAAAATATAGAATTGGTAGATGTCGACGGGAACCAAACGGCAGGCAATCAGAGACTACATTGGAAGACGTGCAACACTTTTGCCTTCTTCTCCATTTCTCCCACGTGCCTCATCATAGGTACTGCTACCCAACTTCTACCCCTTCCCCACCTCCCACTTCACCCTTCTCCCGCCGTTCACTGCTTCACTTGTTTTTGAATCTTCACTTGACACATTCATTATCCACGGACTTCATCATCGGAGGAGTCACTTTATCACAGGTTAATTGCTGAAATTTCACGTCAAATGCACTCTTTCGAAAGCTGTACATTTAATTGCTCTTCTTGCGCAATTTTCTAAAATCTTCACATGTAGGCTGTACATATAGCTAACCCTTCTCTCAGCACCGCTTGCCAAGCACCTTATTTCTCAAAGCTGTTATCCCAATCATAGTAAAAATATTAAAATTTTATTACGGATTTGCTGTAAGTTCCAATCATTATTTTTAGAGCTTTTTTGTTGATCCATAAATTAAGGTTCTCTGAGATAAACATTCAATGTCAGGTCTTGGGCACTAGAGCTCCAGCTCCAGCTTTGGATATCCTCATACTTTAAACACAAGTAGCTCCCACCCTCTTTCCGAGGTTAACTGCTACTTTTGACCAGTATTCCTCAAATTCTTTGAGAAAAATTTGGCTGCAACGGTCCATTAATTTATTACAGATGATCACCCTATGTTTAGGTTATAATTATCACAATCCAAGCTTAAATTTATCTGTCGTTTCATTTTACCCTATGTAGTCTGCCTTTCAAAATTTTTCATTATCTATCAGTGTTTGAAATTTATCAAATTGTGATGTTTCTGGTAGCTCTTTATCTTATCGTCAATTAATTTGGGTGTTAGTATTCATTTGAGTAGGGCTTATTTTCTTCAGATTTTACCAAATTTTTTGTCATTTTTTGAACAAGACTAAATTTCAAATTTGGCATTTATCTGTATGTATTATAACATGTCTATTTGATCTATGTCAGTATATTCTCACAGCATTTTTTTTGTTTTGTATTTTTATTCTAATTGCTGATTGTTTTGTTTTTTCTGTTATCCAGCCAAGATGTCATTCTGAAATTTAAGTCTCAAAAGGAGCCTTCTTTCTGCTCATTCCTCAATCTATCAAGACGGATCAACCAAATAAATTCTCATTCCACCATTTTATTGATTGTGCCCCATTTCAAGTAAGACCTTTTGACATTGTTTGGTGCGGAGATTATTAGCAGTATTTTTGGCATTCAGAACTAACACTGAAACCATTTAAACAGGAGTACGAGAACACACCAACAAGCGAGAGAGAAGAACCGCGGACGTTCGCTATTGCCATGCCTCGAGGCAAGCGACGTTCCGCAGCCGACATGGGGCCTGCTGATGATGATAGGCATTGCAGTAAAAGACGTCATACAACATCTAGGTATGTTTTGTTTATTTTTTAGTACAAAGTTAGCTAATTTTTATCCCCCTGGTTTTGTGTCTTGTTGTAAGATGAACATATTTTCTTTTGCTGAAGAAGGCTAATATCTGAGATAAGTGAAATTCAAGATTTGGCACCTCTAGGTTTTGATGTTTATGTTGTGCCAATAACTTCCTTTGGCTTGTAACATTGAATGGAGTGGTGGGGAGACAGTGTGTTAAAAATAGCCTGGCAGCGGTGAGGCCTCTGAGGCCCAGTAAGCTCCTGTGTTTGTGTGAGTGTAGTCTGTGGGTCAGGGTTGTCATGGATAGGTATTTACCTATTGTCAGTTATCTTTGTCTTTTGTGCTTTTAACTTGATTTACTTCCACACCAAATGGTTTTAAAACAAATGGACGTTCTTATTTCACATTGTGCTGAAGCTCTTTTCAGTTAAATGTAAGGTTAAATGACATACTAGTGGCATTTGTTCTGATTCCCAAGGCATTAGGGTATTTAAGCATGACATTACATATTGCTTTCACAAGCACAAGAAAGAGCTTCTTTACATTGAAAATGTATTAGATTTAGTATTTTTCTATTTCTTCTTTGTGTATCTGTGTTTTATGGGGACATTGTTTTCTTCAGTTCAAGGCGTCACTCAAAGTCAGAAGATCTTTCATCATTCAGTCAGAAAAGATGTATATCCTGGTTCAGAGAATATACCAGTCCAGATGATCCAGATACATTAGGTATGTTTTTTTTTTACATGCCAAATTATTATATTTGTACATTTGCTTGCCTTTTGTTAATTTGCTGATTTTCTTGGCTAACTGTAATAGGTCCAGAAGGAATGGAAAAGTTTTGTGAAGACATTGGAGTTGAACCTGAAAATGTAGTGATGCTTGTCCTGGCGTGGAAAATGAATGCACGGCAAATGGGCTTTTTCACCCTACAGGAATGGACCAAAGGACTGACAGACCTCCAGTATGCTATATAAAAAATCTAAAGCCACTTGGTGGTGTGAATATACTTTTCTCCTCATGTTCGTTCTAACATAAGATGATTAAATTTGTATTCATCTATTTCAGTTGTGACTCAAATACCAAAGTGCAGAACAAATTAGAGTATCTCAAATCATTTCTACATGAACCATCAACATTTAAAAGCATTTACAGATATGCTTATGACTTTGCCAGGGTAATAATACATTTATTTTTACAGTACCTAATTTTTTCAAAGTTATCATCTTTTCTATCTAACAAACAACATTTCTCATCCAGGATAAAGATCAGCGAAGTATGGATATGGAAACAGCCCGTGCAATGCTCCAGCTGCTTTTGGGTCGGCAATGGAGCTTGTATGGACAGTTCAATAATTTTTTGGAGCAGTCAAAGTACAAAGTAATAAATAAGGATCAGTGGTGCAATATCCTTGAATTTTCACGGTCTATTCACAGTGATCTATCGAACTATGATGTTGATGGTGCATGTAAGTAGTGCTGCATCCAACTGAATATTTGCTCACCTGCATATTGTTGCTAACATTTACTTTCTGAACATTTTTCAGGGCCTGTTATGCTGGATGAGTTTGTAGAATGGCTGAAAGCATCAAAGGAACAGAATTCTGCCAAAGGCAGTTGATTTCATGATTTCCCCCCCCCATGCAACCGGACTGTTGTGATAGTGCTATTATTGCAAGTCAAGTGCACAAGTGATACAGCGATATATTGTGAACTTCTCTAATTCACAAGAAGTTGCCATGTAATATGTGATTGCGCCTGATGGTCACCTCCTGTAAATTTATCAAATTTTGTAATGAACGACATTTCCCTCCTTTTATGGTAGTTTATCATTTTGCTGTCTATCCTATGACAAAAGTGTTTTATTTGTCAAATTATTATATTTTGGGCAAATAAATTATTTTAAATTTGTCTGTATCTATTTTAAATGCTGTACAAACTCCTTTTAGTCCAGAAATAAGTTTAATAATATTCTTTATTTGTTGATAAGTTTCATACGGTTACATTATTTACAATATCTGTCAGCCTTCATTTTACTTCTTCGGTCAAGAAGAGCCTCATGAAGTGCACCTTCATCCCTTGCTCTTTTCAACACAGTTCTGTCTGTTGTGTCAATCCTTAGTTTTTTATCCTGAAACTTTTGAAATTTACGCCTGGAACAAAATGTGATGATGTTGTAACACTATTCAAAGAACAACTAGTCACTTTATCTTGAGAGGCTGTAACTCTACTCACACATAATTTTCTTCAACTTCATGGATGTTTCCCTTTTCTTCTGAAGGGCCTTCGTCTTCTCCTGTTGTGTCCTGAGGAGCACTGGACCTCACTCTTAAAATTTCATTTGGTCCAACTTTACGATTTGATGCAACTACATCGTCATTTTCTGGGTCTACTGCCATAAAGCAGCCTGTAGAGCTGAGTAATGCCATTTTCCCATCCTGTCAATGTGAAAGAAGTTAAGTAGATACAAATTTATGATAGAAAACAGAAATTAGATATAATTATCCAGGAAACTTACTTCAAACACAGGCTCCCACTGCTCCATTGGACCTACAGCATCTGAACGTCCTGTTACAGCTCCATCAGGGCCAACTCTCAAGTACTTACCATAGCCCGATTTGATTGCTACCTTTGTTTCGTTGACTGGAAAAGCTGTAAGAATTTCTTCTGGTGATGGTCCTTCGCCTGCATTACAAGACATGATGAGAAGATCAGTTATTTCTCTTGGGACAGATAACATTTATCTGATGGCAGTAAGTTATGACATGTGCCATCCTACCGTGGTCGTGGGGAGCACCCAGGGTAAAGAGACCATTGTCAAGAGCTTTGATATATGTTTGGTTACCAAACTCAATAGCTATTGATCCAGTAATTAGATCTGTGCTCTTGCAATGTATCCAGCCACCTAAAAGTCAAATACAAATGATAAGTTCAATAAGGCACATGCGAAGGCTTCTTGATTTGACAACTGGTCTCACCGTGCTGGATGGCATCCTCGTCAACAACCTCTCGGGCCTCTTCGGTGTCTTTTTTTTCCTTCTTGTGCTTTCGCTTCTTAGATCTATACATGAACGACAAAATTTGAAATAATACAAGGAGCATAACATCAAAAAATCGGGTTAGGTTGAGGATCGACTTACTTTTTCTCACCCTTGAAGAGGAGTTTCTTCCTCTTTACATTTTCGTAGTCAGCCATTTGGAATTTGCAAATTTAAGATGAAATAAACGTAGAGAGCTCTTGATTTCTCCAACAGAACAAAACGGTAAGATGTAAACAAGTAGTTTTTGATCCGTCAGTTTCTTTGCAGTGATCACTATTTAGTTTTTGTTTTTGTTATGCTTCTTGCCCCCCCCCCCCCTCTTCTCCGTCCTGCTGTCGACAAACGACAGACGCCGCAACGCGCGAACACCAGTGGCGCGAAAATCAACTATCGACGCTCCCGCCCCGCGACGTCACCTTTCCACTTTGCAGGAAATCCGCTCGTGCTAATCGGCTGGGGTCGACCCCACACCGTGCCTTATCAATAAAATCGCCTCGCTGGGAGGCGTGGCGTGGTATGCAGCATGCTCGGCGAGCTCACGTCCACCATACAACGGCACCACACCTCTCGTCCACTCGCAGAACACATCCAGCCACAGGTGCCGACAGGTGCGAGGGACCAAGTTCGGATCGTGCGGAGAGGCGACTCAGAGCAGAGCTTGAGCCATGGGCCTCAGACACGCAGACTGCGCGCTTTTGGCGCTCTGCCTGCTGCTCAACGGCTTCGCAGCGCTAGGTTCGTTGTAACACTCGAGTGTATTCTTAGTCACAGTATTAGTGTTTTTACTCTTTCAAAACTCTGTGAATTTAAACCGTTCCTTCACTATGCTCTGTCTGTAGTCAGAGGGGCAGTAGTAGATAGAGCACATGCAGGTGTGTTTGGGGCACATTTTCAGCTCCCAGGAAAGGATGAATCGAGTCTCCCTCTTCCCACAATTCCCTCCGCAGTGAACACAGGGCGGCAAGGTCGTTCAGCCTCAGTGTCAACCCGTCTGTTTAAACAGACGCAGTTGAAAAATAACCACAGAACGCATGGGCAGGCGGTTATGCAGACAGAGGAAGGGGGGGGGGAGGCCCTGGAAAAACTGGCAGGAGACAGGACCTTGTTCATATTTTCAACGACAGGCGTGCCACTTCCGGTGTACCCATCACTGCCGCAAATTTAGTTCTGTCTGGTGTTTAAACCTCATTTTTTTGTTGCAGGGGGCGCGAAGGCGGCACAGCTGTGCGCGCCGCGAGATTACGGCGAGGGTTCGGTGGTGTGCGTTTGCAACGCCACACACTGCGACTCCCTGCCGCGGCCCCGGAAGGGGGACTTCCCCGGCGCTAGGCTCTACTCCAGCTCCAAAGCCGGCCTGAGGTTCTCCACCAGCGACGCCGACTTCGCCGAGGAGGCCCCATCCAACGGAGGCAAGGACTGAGGCGTCGTGGTGCAGTAGTTCGGCCGACATCTATAGATCGGCAATGGTGGCCACATAGTGGCCATCGGGGGTGCACTGGTCGTATCAGAGCGAACACCCCAGCGATGCGGGTTTGCCTACTCGCTTCGCCCGCAAGGCACCTGTATGGGCCCCTGTGCCCCAAGAGGGTTGTGCAAAACCCGCATCACGCATCACTGGGGGGTTTGCTCTGATACGTAGGCCTACCCCAGGTATTGCAGCACTTCTTACCTTTTACAAATTTTTGTCCAAATTTTCAAACAAAACGAAAGACGGGCGAAGGGCAGGGGTAGGAGAATAAGTGGTCTGCCAAAACCAACAGCCTGAGAATCACCATTTGAGCCACGAGCTTCTTTTAAGTGGACAAAAAGCATGTAATATGGTCTTCCCTTTAGATGCGGAGGTCTGACTCCCCTCCCCTACCTTCCTAGCCCAAAGCTGTGGGTTACCGCCGTGTCACTGTCGCTCTCAAGAGGACCCTCGAGCCTCGCACGCGCTCTCAGACATCATCAAATTGTCATAAGAGGACTCTCCTATTATCATCCCCACGCTCTGCGCATCATCCGATCGGGGCAAAGAGTACTCATGACGTTGCGTTGATTGATTCCAAGAAATCGGGAAGCGGCCACTCGGGACGGTTATAAGAGATGTCCGTGTTGTGCAAAATTGTGTATACGGATTCATGCGTGAGGGCGGGCTTGCCTATCGTCGCTCGCCATGGTGCCTTACGGCCCCGTGCGAGTATGCAACCCGTCCGCACGCATGAATGCGGTACAGTATAAGCAGGAAAAACCCACGGCGCGGATCACCCACCCTGTATGTGTAGTATGTATATATATGTATATTTGCTGCAGCAAATAGTAAAATGTGTTTCACTCTCAGTTTCACCGAAGGCTTCACGCACTTTGCATTTTCCAGGAATCACATTTCAAGTCGACAGCAGCAAACGGTACCAGTCCATCATCGGATGGGGTGCAACCGTTACCGACTCGGCTGGTATAAATATACAGAAACTGTCTGAGGGTGCAAAGAAACAGCTCATCAGGTACGATATAAAGACAAAAGTCCAAGGTCCAAGCGGGATACACTAACAGTCGCAGATAGAACGCACTGACGCACTGTGCTCACATTTTAGTAAACACCTGAAGACCGGAGATAGGAAATAGTACGTAGTTGAAATCAGCGAGGAGTTTTTGAGGGGAGGGGTCCTCTACTTGGTGTCGCCCATGTTCGCTTGAAGTCACTCGCCAGTCTACACTTTGGTTCATAAATAATTCCCGTGTTTTCTACGACTCTTCTCAATAACATCCGCTGCAGGGCGTTCTTCTCCGAGGATGGCATCGAGTACGACGTCCTGCGCGTGCCCATCGGCGGCACGGACGACTCCCTCCGCGTCTACACCCTCCATGATGAGCCCGGCGACGCGTCTCTCAGCGGATTCGCGCTCGCCGAGGAGGACTACCTCTACAAAGTGAGGCCCGGGGCCCATTGCCCCCGGTGTCGTATGGCTTTCGCTCGCTGCGCACCCCACCGCCGCTAAACTTTCCGGCCCTCCCGCAGATGCCCGTCCTGCGCTACGCCCGTGAGGCCCTGCCCGCCGACCGGCCGCTGCGCCTCCTGGCCAGCGCCTGGACCGCGCCGCCATGGATGAAGAGCAACAAGAACTTCACGGGCACCGGCGTCCTCCAGCCGGACTACTACCAGGCCTGGGCCGACTACCACCTCAAGTACGTGCCTCCTCCTACAAGCATCCCCTTCGGGCAAATAACAGAGAGGAGAGATTTAACCGGCCACATTCGCAAAGGTTCTTGGACGCGTACGAGGAGGAAGGCTTCCACTTCTGGGGCGTGACAACGGGAAACGAGCCCCTGAACGGCTTCCTGGGCGGAATGATCCACTTCAACTCGATGGGATGGACGCCCTTCGCTATGAGCACGTGGGTCGGCCAGCACCTCGGCCCGACGCTGCGCGGGCCCGACGGCCAGGCTTCACAGCACGCCGACGTCAAGATCCTCACCTTGGACGACCAAAGAACGCTCATGCCGGTCTGGACAGGCCTTGTAAGTCTTTCCGTGGGTATACAGCCTGGGCAATGCCCCACGGGGTTGCAAAAGTCAGATGGTGTAAGATTGCAACAAAAAATATTAGGTAGGCACCCCGGCAAGTGAGCTCGACTATCTAGCCAGACTCACCCCGAGCCCTGCGCGCCTAGTAGGTAGGCAGGCCTGTTGCGCGCGTACGCCCGGCGGGCTGGTCTGCCCTACTCCGAGCCATGAGCCCCAGGCGACACGCACTTGACTCGTGACGTTTACTCGTACTCCCTCACAGGTGGTGATGGATAAAGAAGCTGCCAAGTACATCGATGGCTTCGCTATCCACTGGTATGGCAACTCACTGTCTCCGGTCTTCTCGCTAGACGTGAGCCACTTGCTCAGCCCGGACAAGTTCATCTTCAACAGCGAGGCCTCCAACGGTGAGCGCGCGCGCACTGTTATTCAAGTAGGTTGAATACTCATCCAAATTCGGCACTTTGGGTGTGTTTTCATCCCTCAGGTGTGAATACTCATCCAAAAATCTCGCCTTCCCCCCGGGGATGAAAACGGGCGCCCCGGGGGATGCTTCCCATGCTCCCCCGGGCGCTGCATACCCGTCCCCTCGGGGATGAAAA